GCGCTCGACCGCCGTACTTTCCGGTTACTCTTATTCCGGTTGTTATCTTTTGTTCAGAGCGAGAGAAGAACGAAGTGGAAGGATTTTAGGATGGACAGAAAGAGCCGGAACAGGCGATGGGAGGGATTTATCATTGGCCAACGGTGCACTGGCCACGGTATTAAATTAAGTTATGCCCATCTTGGAATTTTTTATTATCACCGAGAACGACGAGCGCATTTCCACCGTCTATGGTGCAAGACAAGTTTTTATTTCTTCCACCTGCCTCTCTTCCCTCGCTTCGCGCATCGGCCGGTGCGCGAGCGATCTCGCACTTTTCGCGCATATTTCTGCATTAAGCTCTCGACACTTTACTGTCGTTTGACTTTATTTATAATTTTAAATAACGTTCGATTTATGAGTAAAGTTTCCGTATAAGCAAAGAAAAACGTGGATCGTCGCCATTGCAATGCATAATAAATATTTTCCACTCAACATTTATCGGATATTCCGAGGCTGCAAATTCGAATTACGCGATTAATATATAATTGTTTGGCGTTTGCAGTAGCTCTAATGACACCAGCACTAATGGTCGAGTCGGCTAAACCACAACAACGATTATTACATATGTTGTCGTAGATTGTATTGTCACGCGATTCGACTAGTGTAATATTCCTATTATAAGCTGTCGAACATTACAAAATTACTTTAGGTACTGGAAATTAATGACGAACGATTCCAAGATTTATTTAATTTTATTTAGGAATATTTAGACTTTACATATTTTTAAAACGCGAATGACACTATACTATAATATAACATTTGCAAAACAACTCATCTCGTTTGTATGTACTAGCATTTTTTATCTGTTCTTTATATTTTACATGTTAGTTAAAAAATTTATGACTTAAAAATTTTTATTTTTAATTATTCCTAAATATCGATGTATTCCTTATGTTAGTGCGAGACTTTAGCGAAATTAAATTTTCATTCACGTGCATACACGTCAAAAGATTAAAGAATTCGAAACTGGTTACTGTATAAAAGAATTGTGTGCTGACCCAACGCATTTGCAAATGAGCATCCATTGTAGAGGTGAGTCAGGATGACGTGATCGAAGGAGAACAGGAACGATGAAAAAAAAGGAGTAGCATTAAAGGTATGGTTGACTGTAAAAGGAGAACGTGAAATATATAGGCATGAAGGGGTATAAATTACTTCCGCGGCGATATCGTAAACATTGACCAATTACCACGAATAATTAATCACTGCTATCCTATTTCGTCGCTCGATACGGAAATTTCGACCAATTTTCCAAGTATACTTACATCGAGATCTTCCAGTAAACGGGACAATACAATGAATTTCTCATAATAAAATTAATCGTTACAACTTTTTAATAATAATAATTATTAAAATAGTGTCTATTATTTATATATTATATTACAGTAGTTTTATATTATTCGTTAATTTTACTTTTGAAAAACTATTATATTCCATTACATACTATTTATTCAATGATTTCAGACATTCAAAATTATTTTTTCATAAATAATTTTTTAAGAGAGATTATTAGATATTTTCTAAAAGTTTGATATCAAGGAAAAGACGGTACTTTTACCCTAAATGTATTTAGCTTTCGCGCTCGCGTTTACTTTTATGTCTATGAAATTGCGTGACAATCTTCACGTGATATTTTAGTCTGATCGGGAATTCGATTTGTTGCGTTCGAAGATATACGTGAACGGATACATCCACGGTATATGTACATGTAGACGCGTCACGGCACTTACCTGTTGAAAAAACGATCGGTCCCATCGAGTCCGACTCCCACGTAGACTCCCAGGGGTCTCTTGAGTTCCGCGACTGGACGACGAAGAGTCCAAGTGTCGGCGCGAAAGAAAGAAGGGAAAGACTCGGACTATTTCTCGAAGCAAGAAGGCGCAAGCGTGGCAGATCATGGTCATCGTTCTGCATCGATAATTCCTTCTTCATCGCGTCCTTTCTCTCTTTTTATCTTTCTCACCCCTTTCCTTTCTCTTGTCAGTTCTCTCTATATCTTCGACCTATTCCTTTTGCCACCTGTCCGCTTTGTTTTATCTTTCTTTGCGCGAGAGATGTCCCTTCGGGTACGTTCAGCTGCACCCTCGTGGGTTGCCACGATCACAGCCGTCCCTGGGAGTACCACGCGGACAAACATCAAGCCAGAAACTGCGATACGTTGGCCGGAGTACGGCAGCTCACCCCGAACATCCCCTTACGCGGGAGACGCATGCGTCGCTTTTAAACCAACGCCGAAACCAACCCCTACCTAACTCGCGGCTATCTTGCCCCCGTTCTCCAGTTCTACGAATCACTCCCGCGTTTCTCTCTCTCCTCTCTTGCAACAGTGCTATTAACGATCCATGTTGATTTACGATCAATATTGAAAAACACAGAGCTGTTGCTGACAATGTACGCACTACAGCAGAAGATTATTCTTTTTATCATCACTTTAACTTTTAAGAATATTAATAGATGAAATAAAGCACTTTTGATAGAAGCGAAGGATATTGAAAAATATCAAAGACCGACAGATTTTCCTTTACGTCCTGATGTCTCGGAATACATAAACTAGCTCGTAACTCATGGATTTAGTCCAGTGAAGAGAAAAATAAGAGAAAGAACCAGAAGCATCTCTCGATTGTCATAAAATCTGGTCTGGCGCGAATTCGTACACGTACATACGCCGATCTCGAGGTCAGGAAGGGCGGCGCGCCTGCGTCAGAAATGTCGGTGGTGGACGAACAGGGTAGGGGGTGTCGTCGGGGGGCATGGGGGTGAGTCAGTCAGGCCGCAGCGCGCGTTCAGAAAACTACCCTTAACGCGGGATCTCATACGCTCGCCGGAGTAATTTATAATTGAGTCGCGAGTACGCGATAGGAATCCGAGGCTCGCGTTTACTCGAATCCTTCTCTTGATACCCGAAAACGTAAAATTCTCTCTACGAAGACGGGACTTTCCTGAAGAGGATTGATTCGCCTTTTACACGAGAAACGCACATTATACACGACATTATTTAGAGTTTCGCTCCGTGTAGAGAGACAGACGCAGATGCGTACGGATAGCCGCCGAAAGGTCTGTTGCTGTCGAAAATTTACGCGTCCCGAAAAGCCAAACGGCAGGAATGGGAAGGACAGTCAAGAACGCGAAATTCGAGAAATTGGATTAAGCTTTTGTTGATATCAAGCGACATTGAAGACGAGAAGTGTAACGAGAAGTGTGCAAAAATATACAAATGCAGCGGAAAATATCGTGGAAAATATACTCACAGCGATCGGATGGTGAGAATGTAACGTCGCGTGTGGCGAGGAAGGTAGCACGAAACAAGATTCGAAGGAGCCCTTAGTCGCGAGTGCAACGAACCGGGCTCAATAAAATTGCCATATATAAATATCATCACGCGAGCTACTTAATCCTAACCATTCATCTCGTTTCTTTTTCGTAACATTTCTCCCTTTGACTCTGCTAGATTTCCGTTCAATCGCTACAGGACATTGGCATTTTGCAATGCCTCGCCATTATTCTACAGAAAAGAATTGTGTCGCGGCGCATCAATAGTCTCATCCAAAAATCAGTTATTCTACTTTCGAACTTTCGACATCAGCGGAGTTACTTTCATTAACGAGGAATCGAAAGAAAAAAAGGGATATAACGCGAAGATCGGGAGCACCGGGTGGAAAATGAAAAAACTATCCGCTCGGTGGAAATTGCGGGAAAGCAGAGAAGGACAATTACACCTAGTTATCCGGAGGATGTAACGCGAGCCGGAACCGTGGCCAGCGCCAGGTCCAGGGTCAACGTCTCGCGCGGCAAAGCTCGGCGGAAGCTTTGTCGTGAGGGCTCTCGGCTTGGAGCGTGGGACGCGCGAAAAATATGGGATGGTCGTGGAATCACAGGAAGAAAGAGTCAAGATAATCGCAACGAGATAGGGCCCACAGTCAAGAATGTGGGATTTCTGAAAGGCAACAAAGGAAGAACGGCAGAGGAGAGTTGGATAAGGCGGCAAATAATAGTTCGCACCATCGAAGTACGGATCTCTGAACTACCGAACACCGTGTATAGCTTATTAGTAGCTGTCGTTATCGGCGTTGAGAGTAGAGAAAACGACGCGAATCCGAGCTGACTCGACGGAACAGAAAAAGAAGGAAGATTTGTGAACGAGAAGTGGGAGGGAAAATAAAAGGGAAATATTGTCTACCTCCAGGGAAATACGTCGTGACGTTCGTCTTTCGGAGACCAGTCCAGAAGTGACACCCTTCCAAATTGATCCTTCCATTAAACCAGCAAGAGCGAACACGAGCGGACGCGGCAACGGTAAAAGAATGTAAATAGTTCTCGTATGCGAATCGCTGCGACAAAGTGGCACAACGATCGCGGCCATTATTGCGATGTCAGCGACCGGCTTAGAGGAAAACGCGCGCTTCTTTCTTCCTTAACGTCGATCGCCCACACTGATCGCTTTTCATATATCCACAGAATATTTTATTGTGCACGCGAGAGAGACGGAGAAAGAGAGAGAAAGTGTTAAATGGCGTGTGTCGATACTTTTTCTCAATGGCCGCTGAATAGGCACTCTCGCGTCCTTCCGTTGTTTTGTACAGTTACACCATAAACGCATCAGAAACGACAAGTATTTTTTTACGCGTAGCTCAACTCCGTTACGCTTTCTTCCTTACTGAAAAATTGTTTCGCTAGTGCGCGCTAATCTCAGCGCCGCCAATCATCCGCGTCGTACTGCTCGAGAATTCAACGTGTCCAATTTTTTTCTCCCCCGGAAAGAATCTTCTCCTCGCGGCGCCTGTGATTGTGCGACGAAGGAGAGGAGTATCGTCGAAGTTTATCCTACGGTGCCACACCTGCGACTACGTCTTCGTCAGGAAGACGGAAGACGTGTTTGTCGTCCTGCTTCTATTCGCCCTCTTCCCCTCACAGTGATGAAGGTGGTATGTTTATGACGAAGGTGGTTTATCTTTTCATAGGTGGCACGCTGCGACGGTGGTGTTAAGTGTGCAGTGATCACGGGTGGTCGAGGGAAGGCGGGAAAGAAGGTGGTCAATATGACTCCTATCTTCCTCGTCGTGTTGCTGGCGATTGACCCGATTATCGCGCAGAATACCGGTGAGTAAAACAAGATCAACGACAAAATGCTAGTGTTAAAGTAAAACTCTTATGTCCGATCGCGGTACGGACAGTTTCCTCTCCGCGATGGACAATTCGTGCGCGGAGGACAATGACCGCGGAAAACCGCGAGGATGTGTGTGTGGTGCACGCCTCCTAGGACTCTCAAAATCTACGAGAGCCGAACGAATGCGCCACTTTTCCACGCGCGTATCTCGCGTTCGATCGCGCGTATAAAAGAGAGTCGAGTCGCATGCGTCGCGAAAATAGATCGAAAGCACCGATACGTTCGTCCGCTCGAACGTACGCCACGTTATTTAAACTGGACGAGATAATCCCTTCGCACAAACGAACGTCCTGGATCTTCGTAATTTATTACGGTTTACTTATTAGCTACGACGCCGCTGTCGGCTGCATCGCTTTCGATCGATGTCGCGTGCAAAAAATTTATCGTTCATCGCTTATAAAAATTAAATAGTTTTTTGCTGCTAATCCCGCGATAGGCGGACACATTTTTCTGCCGAACGTCTCGAGATCTCTCTATACGCGCAATCGCCTCGCGAACTTAGCCGTGGTCGTAGTAAGCAAGCGTTCGTTGCAAGCGTGCACAAGTGCAAAGAGACTCTTCGCGTTGTATAATTCATGTGCGAAAAAGAATAGGAGAAATGAACTAAATGAAAACGTTCTCTTCGAAATGTTGTAATACCGGCGCTCAAAGGACGCTCGCGGTGACGGGAAAAAGAGAATGGACTACTGAAATGCGGGTGTCGAATGCATGAAGAGAACGATGAAAGAAAACGCCGTCGACGTAACTGCCGCTCCCTAAAGTCGAGCTTAAAAAGAGCTCGGCTGACTCGTCTCGAAGAGGCGGGTAATAACACGTGCCTCAAACAGGGAGCGGCTCTTGGCGGCTAAATGACGAGCGCACGCATCGCGTTGAATTGCGTGCGTGTTGTACCGCGAACACGTGTCAGCGTCGCCCCGGCGAGGCCGACACCTCACTCGCGATTAAAATATGCGAACGGCTCGTCGAAAGTCCAGCATACTCGCGTTATCGAGCACTCGCGATCTCTCGTCGAAAAAATACAGATCGCTCGCGTGTTCGCGTGCGATTCGTTCGGACTTTTACGGAAGTGACCCAGGTTGCCGGGTACCAAGCTCGATCTAGGAGACGCCACTGGAGTGTATATGGGCTCCATATGGACTCTAAGACCGTTTTACATAAAACTTGACGGACGGGCGACGCCTCGCGAGCCCGTGTGTTACGCGGATTAAAAAAAGCCTCGTAACTGCACGAACACCATGATCATTTCTTGTCATCATAATGTTAATAAACGTTTATTTAGGATCGTGATCGGGGGGAGCAATGCTAGCTGCGCGATCATTACGCGGTAATCTGTCGCCGCAGTCGGTAATCCAGCGAGCTTTACGCTGACTCCGTAATGACGATGATACATCCCTCGCATTTCAGTCAATTAATTACGTCGCGACGTAATCCTAATTCGGCTGTCGGAAAGCTCTCGCCGGATTTGAATGCTTTGCGAGTTTCAGCGATGGGAAACGATAATGTCATATCAGCGCGATGTGTAAAGCGCAGCCATTGTTGCCGATTCAACATGGCAACGGTAAGTAGGTAATTGAAAGGTCAGTGCGAACTACGCTTTTACATGTTCCCTGGCAAAAAAAAACGTTCGACCGTGATTGAATTAACGATCACGGAGAGTCGACTCGAAATATCGGTTCTCTTTCAGAAAAACGAATAAGCGCCACTAGTAACGTAGCGGAACTAGCGTTCCATTAGTAACGAGTGACGAGTTAGCCGGAATCAACGGATCAGCGCGGAACGAATCATTTTCCCCAATGGAGATGCCGATTTAAATTCAATAGCTCTGTTTTCCGCAATTCTACTCGACAGTCGTCGTGTGCCGCCGATCGTATTCAGGTAACACGTAGGAAATCCGCGGGCGCTTTTTGTCTTTTTATATCCCTTGCTTTTTAATTCGCGCAACTGCCGGTTGTTCGTCTCCCGTCGGTTGGTTTCGGAGTACAGAAAATTGGCACTCTGCGTTGGCGGCAGCGAAAGAAAAGTGATAAAAAAGGGTCGAGGAAGTCTCGCGCAAGGAGGGAAAGATGAGAGACAGAGACGATCGAAGCGGGGAAGACGATCCGTGCGATAGCGATGGAATGGGTGAAATCCATAGTTAATGCAGATACGTCCCGTCCGTCTCGTCTAACTCGAGGAAAAGGAAACAGTCCAGGTCGACTGCAAAGATTTCCTCGGAGGCTCGCCTGTCCGTATGGTGACATCTTCGTGAGTGAGAAAGGAAGCGTCTTCCTCGCGTCTGTCTCACGAGTTAAGAGGACAGGAGTGTAACTCTCTATCAAGATTCCGTTTTTTTTTTCCATTTATTTGCTCCTCCATCTTTTGTGCGGAGGATCGTTCGCGTTTTTCTGTATTTCAGGCCAAAGAGAGTTTTCATGTACGAGTCCAATGTTACACAGGAATCGTTTCGACTTTACTATACGTGAACGTTGCGAAAAATACCGCTCGGTTAACGACAGGATCTGCTTGGTAATTCGCGATGACGTAGCCGGCGAATATTTCCAAATCACACGTCACTTCCGGCTTAGCGTAACGCGCTTCATATAGCATATACGCCTTTGTAATGCACATACACGCGTGTATGCAGACATCTACAGATACAGTTGCATTAACATAGCCCCACTCTTTCGTCTTTCTCTTCTGATTCTCCTTTCTCGTTTGTTCTCTCAGTCGCGCAGTATGTCAACGTCCCGCTTTTCTACGTCACGCCACAAAATGGATTCTCCACGGCTCGACTTCAGCACGAGAACCAAAAGCGAGGCAAACGGTAAATAGATTTTTCGACGCCATAAAGAGAACATCGAACCGGTGGCTGCCTCGGGAACATCCAGAAAATAGTCTCCACGAATTTTCAAACAAACTCACTTATACAGCAATCGTATTTCGAGAAAGCCTTCGAGAAAGCTAAATTCTAGATTTAAGTTTCCTCATAGCCAAAAGCGTATTTTCAGATTTTCAATCTTTAATTATTCTTCACTCAAAAATTATTGTAATTTTGGTGTTTCAGTCTCGACAAAAACAAAACTGAAATATCAACTTCAAACGTTACTAGCTGTAGCTAAAACGGGAAATCTATATAAGAGCACATTTGAAACACATCTCTCTGTAAAACGGATTACAAGCTGTCGCACATTTAACTCTGTGTAGTAAAGAAAAATTTATATCACGAACGCAATCATTTATTTTGTTTACCATATGCGCACAGAGAAAATCTACGGCTAAATATCTCGTTTCTCCTAACCGAACGCGATAGAAACGGCCGGCTACCTTCGTTGTTTCCCGAAAAATAACCTCGCCGCGTTTTATGATACATTATGCACGCTGAACGACGCTTAGTATAGGTACACCTATATCCCCTACGCCCCCACCTCGTTTCAACCCCCCTGCGAATGTCGGTTGCCGTGATCATATTTCATCGACATGTCAAGCAAAGAAAAACTCGTTTCTACCGTAATCATATCTCTCGACGAATCTGGTTAGACCTGCCGTCATAATACACCACCATTACGATTGAGATAACCGGAGGAATCGTGCGTCCGGAATGCCAACGCAAGATATCAGAGAGCGACTTTCGAAAGTATTTCGATGTAGAGGAAGAAATTTTTCAAACGTCATGGCATTCAATAAAACGGGGGAGGAGATTCATAGCGCGCAAGGGAGCAAAAAAATCGTATCACTTTACACAAACGGAATGTATAGAGGAGTTCAACGGATTTCTGCAGTTAGACGAATAACGTGCATCAGCTTGCTCCCTCGTGAGATCATTGCCCTTTTCTTTTTTCGTCGTTTTACATCGGGCAAAATAACCGCCGCATTTTTGGGCTTGGTGAGGCCGCACGTTATTTATCGTCCGGCCAGACGTGATAATTTACATTCTCGCAATCCCCTACCCGAAGTTTCAGCTCTGACCTGTCGCCGGTACCGCGCAACCTGTCGCCGTTTTTATCAGTAATTGACAGAGTAGATGCCGGAACTTTTCAAAAGGGTCTAGTATAATATCGATCAAAGAACTGTACGAGAAAAACGTGGCCAAAAAAATCGAGTAATGACAAGTGACAACCGCTTGCGCGTGCTATTGCATCGGTGCCATTTCGTTCTGTTGCTTTGCCGTTTTGATACTCGCCGTTTCATGCCTCTCTTTTTTTTGTACATATGGAATAAATGCGTTCCTATAGGGAAGCAGAGCACCCCGCGCTGGTTATCGCCGCCCTTATCCAACGCTTTCCACACCACCGAGTTCGCAACGCAACTGGCAATTTGGGAAACCGAAATCGACCGATCTCCAACGTGCTTTTTTACGGTGTTTTCTCCGCAGTTTGCTACAGTACCATCTGCTCTTTGCGACTAACGATGAGACTATTCAACGGAAAGAGATTCGCTTTCAGAGACACACAGGGCGTTTTTCAACAAAGACACAGTATAACACAGTGAATCATTACATTCTTTTTGTTTGCCAATATTGAACAAGGATAAAGTGATTCGTCGCGTTACATTGTGTTTTTGCTGCACTGAGAATCTCATTTAGTTGAATTAATTAATCTCTTGTTTGAATATGGACAACAAATCTCTGGTTGATTCAATAAAATAATGTTCTGTAACATTTTATTTGTTTTTGGTAACACAAGTAAAATGTTGTAATAACTTTTAAATCTTTTGCTTCAACTAAATTATTTTATCATCAACAAAAGACTTGTTTGCTCATGTCCAAATAAGAGGTTAGTTAATTTAATGAAATGGGATTCTTCATGTGATAAACGTCCATAACTCTCAAAGAGATACGCTCTCAGAGGGTGCACTGGTATCTCGGTATGTATTTAATTAGTCGCGCAAGCACGAAAAAAGATGAAAAAAGTATGTCGCTTACATGCGACCAGTCTACCTGAAGAGAGTCGCATGA